TCCATCTCAAGCTGGCAGCCAAACCTGGTAATGTATAAGTCTCCCAGGAGTGAAAGAATCATGGAGAGCAGCTAGGGCTTGGCACATTTGGCAGGGTTGAAGTCTCTGCAGAGAGTGCAGGAGGTCACTGGTGAAGGTGCAGCCTCAGATGCAGTGGAGATGCCAGGATTGTGGAATGACCACAAGTGCAGCAGGTGTGAAGGGCTGGCCTGCAGCCATGAAACAAGCTGTGTGTCAGTTTTGGGAACCCAGGAGACCATAAATCCCAGACACTGGATACTGAGCTACATTGTTTTGATTTTGCTTACGTGTGCCCTTCTTAATAATAAAGTATGTAACATTTGTTTTTACAGAGCCCACAGTTGACTTTGGATTACTTTAAAGACACACTGAATTTATGATAGAAATTTTGAAGGCTCTAGGACTTTTTAAGTTATATTGTTATTATATTGTAATATTAATGTGAAATCTTGGGGCCAAAAAAAGGAAAAGTTGTGTTTTACAGTTATATGTGTGTCAAGGGAACCTCAATTGGGGAATTTCCTCTATTGCATTGGCCTATGGACATGTGAGGCATTTTCTTGACTGTTGAGTGATGTGGGAGAGCTCAGTCCACTGTGCGTGGTGCCACCCCTGGGCAGGTGGTACTAGATTGTATAAGAAACCAACCTGGGCTGGAGCGATGGCTCAGCAGTTAAGAGCACTCACTGGCTGCTCTTGCAGAGGAACTGGGTTCAGTTCCCAGCACCAAGACAGTGACTTACAACCATTTGTAACTCAAGTTCCAGGGCATCCAAAGCCCTCCATGGGTATTGCGTCACAGGTGCACTGCCATACATGCAGGCAAACACATATAAAATAAAAATAATTTTTTTGAAAAGCAAGCTGAGCACAAGCTAGTCAGTAAGCATTGTTCATAGCCTGGCCACACTTCCTGTTCTTGATCTCTGCTTCCTGAGGATGAAGACATTGTCATCACACATCACATGATCAACCAGGAATAACCACATGCTCTTGCTGCCATGCCATTCCTTCTTTCCCATGATGGACTCTATCCTTCTAGAACCATAAGACAAAATAATTTTTTTCTTACCTTGCCTTTGGTGATGGTATTTCATCACGGCAACAGAAAAATAATACAATGCACAATAGACTTCTATAAATAAAATTCTAGGGGCTGGAGAGATGGCTCAGTGGTTACAGGTACTGTCCTTGCAGAGTATCCAAATTCAATTCCTAAAACCCATATGGGGAAGCTCACAACGACCTGTAACTCTAGCTCCAGGGGATGTGGTGCCCTCTTCTGGCTTTAACAGGCACCTGCACTCACATGCACATGCACATACATACATGCACATACATGTACACATAATTTAAAATCTCTGATAAAGCTGTTTAATGTTGGTAACACTGAAATACAGCTGTCATTTATGGAGCAGAGACAGGAGACAATGGAAATTTTATTTATAATTTGATGTATAGGTACAGTGTAAAATCTTAAGTTTTTAATATTATGATGATATTATAAGGATATTGCTTATCGATTGAAATATTCCTTAAAATTCAGCTTCTGTCTATGAAGCTTATAAGATTTGAATGGAAGACATGAAGAATATGTTAGTTGGGTTTGCAGGTCAGGGGTTCTAAGTCAAATATTCTTCAGGTCTTTTTCTGCTTGAAAATACCAGGGGTGGGGCTGGAAAGATGGCTTAGCAGTTAAGAACACTGGTTCTTCTTGCAGAAGACCTGGGTTCAAATCCCAGTACCCACATGGCAGCTGACAACTGTCTGTAACTCCAGTCCCAGGGGATCTGACAGCCTCTTCTGAACTCTGCAGGCATTGCACATCATGGGTGCACTTACCTACATGCAGGCAATACACGCATATACATAAAATAAAAATAAAAAACCAGGGTTAAATTATGGGATATATTCATGGCTAAGAGACTATGTTTTCACTAAAAAAAATGAGAAAACTCTACATTAGCCAACACTACCCAATATTAAGAATGTTTTATAAATCTCCAAGAAAAATACAGATGAACCAATAGACCCCATACTTCTTGTCAGTGGTTTAAAGTAGGAAATAAACACAAACTGTCCATCACACTATCTCTGTGCTTAATAGTTTTGGGGAAAGGAATAAAGGCTGTGCTCTGATAAGACAGGGACTGAGTTAAGAACACTGTAAGATCTGACCTTTATTTTTTTCAAGATTTATTTTATATGTGTATGAGAGTGTAAATGATCCTGTGGAGACCAGAAAAGGGTGCTGGATCCCCTGGAACTGGAGCTACAGGCAGTTGTGAGCTGCCTGACATGGGTGTTGGGAAACAAACTTGGGTCCTCTGAAAAATAAAAGGACTCTTAACCACTAAGCCATCTCTCCAGTCTCCAAGATCTGACCTTTACATATAAAGCAGCTCTGCTACAGTTAACAGGATGCCTTGGATGATGACACTCAATACAAACAGTCTCTCTCCAGGATGGGAAGAGAGGAAAACAAGTGACAAAACCACCCATTCCACACCCAGTGTGACTCAGGTTCACACAGAGGGAAAAAAGCCTGAGGGGTCAGGAGAGCAAAGGAACAGAGATGACATTTCCATGTTGCCTTCCCAACCACCATTACTTTTTTCTTTTCTAGTATCTGGTGTAAAGGAATGCTTAATATAGTGACTATGCTAGATTGTCTAGAAAGAATGGAATGGTTTACAAACCATTTTGAAAGACTTGTTGCTTTAATCTGTAAATAAAACCTTTTGTTCTCCCTTATAAACTATTACCAGGACATAAAACATATAACCACCAAAATTAAGAATAGTATATCTTTTCTTCTTACAATTTTAATGTGAATGAGTGTTTTGCCTGCACCATGAGTGTGCAATGCCCAGAAGCCAGAAGAGGGCATCAGATCCCCTGGACCTAGTTACAGATGGTTGCTAGCCACTATGTGGGTGTTGAGAACCTGGTTTTCTACAAAAGTAGCTGGTGCTCTTAACTGCTGAGCCCTCTCTCCACCCCAACGACAGCCATATTTCTAAGTGTACTTACTTTGTCTACCGGAATGTTGGGCCAACCCTCTCTACAGCAGGGTATCTGGCAATGCCTGGAGACGTTTTTAATTGGGATGCAGTCAAACATTTGATGAGGCAGAGGACACTGCTCCTAACAGAATTATCTGGCCCAGATGTAAAGAGTGCCACAGCTAAGAAATGGGGCTCTACATCAAGACCTCTTCCTACATCTTTGCAGAAATTAAATTTTCTGGAAAACTGACAAAAACATATGGAGGAGAGAGCACACGCACAAGGTGAGAGGTTCTACCAGTCTCTGAGCAGTTCTTGGAAACTATGAGTTAGACTAGGAGTTACACAAAACCAGCCAGTCCACCATATAGCTATAGATATAGGAATAGAAATTCAATTCTCTTCTAATTAACAATAAAAGAAATTAAAACACCCTTTCTCCTGGTGTTTAGATAAGCATTACGTGTGTATAATAAAAATACATCCTTGGATACTCAAAGGCTCAAAAGATTTACCTTCTAATCAGGTATGGTACACACACTTGTAACTCCCAGCACTGTGGAGGCTGAGGCAACTTGAGCATTTCAGACCAGCCTGGCCTATAGTCTGGGACAGGGATCCCTATCTAAGAAAGATTAAAAAAAAAAAAAAAAAAAAAAAAGAACATGGGAGGTTTGAGCAGCAAGGTTCAAGAATCCATGTTGGAGTCCCATCTTTGACCTCACTTAAGAAGAGTAACTGCTTGTTTGGAGAGATGGCTTGCGGTCTTCTAGACTAGCAAAAGTTGTGAGGCCTAGGTTGATGAACAGACCCTACCTCAAAGGAATACTGAGTGATTGAAGATACTTGATTCCCACCACCTAAAGAAATGAAAAGAGTACCTGCAGCTGTACTTAGTAACAAGACTTAAGAGAATTACCAAACCACAAGTGTTCTTTGCTGAATTTAGTTTTTCTTTCACATAAAAAATTCTGTAGGGACAGACATCGTTTTTAAATATATAATAGCAGCTACCATTGTTTTTAATTAAACTTACTCATTTTGTGTGAGGGGGATACACAGATTTCATGGCATGAGTGTGGTTAAAGCACAACCTGCAGTACTCAGTTCTCCCTGCTTCATACCATGTGGGTCCCAGGGATTGAACTCAGGTCATCAGGCCTGACAGCCAAATGCCTCCACCTACTGAGCTATCCTGCTAGCCTTAGACTAGTCATTTTTTACTGGAAGGAAATTCAAGGAAGCAATTTTTTTCCATTCTTCCGTTTCAGTCTTTTTGAGACAGGGTCTTCCTGTAGCCCCAGCTGTCCTGGAACTCACTATGTAGATCAGGCTGGCCTTGAACTCACAGAGATCCACTTGCCTCTGCCTCCCGAGTGCTGGGATTAAAGGCGTGGTGATGCCCACCTCCATTCTTAAAATAAACTAAATGATGGTCACTTAAGACCTTTTACTTGCCAGAGTAAATACATTGATATTAATTACAATCAAGCTCTTGCTATTGTTTCCAGCAGGGTGTGAATGTATTCCAGCAATACTTAAGAATCAATGAGGACTCAAGTGGTTTAAAATGCAGATACATATATTTATAGAGAGAATATAAATATCAAAAGACTGAAACAATGTGTTAATGATTATCTGGCTAGTGGATTTTTAGGTAATTTTGTTTTCTTTTACACAGCATATTTTCTATAGAGAGAATGTTAATTTTGTAATAAAAGGGTTTTCATCCATTTGATATGTAAATATATATACTAGTAAGGATTGTGCAACTAGGTGCACAGGGAAGGAACTTGAGGGAAGAGAACTGAACGGAGCTCGTCTTCACTCCCTCAGTCCTATTTATGAATCTGGACACTTAAGAAGCACCTTCTGTGTGCACAATGCTGTGCTTTGCCCTCTCCAGGTATGGAATTCTCTTTTGTATTTTTAAAAAAGTTTTTATATTGTGAATGGTTTTAGTTTTAAAATGGTGGGGCAGTACATCTATTTCTAAAAATGTCTGATATGGTTATAGTTCAGAAGAGTATGTTCATGTAGAGACATGTTCAACAGGAAGCTTTTGAGATAGTCCTATATCTTTGAAACACACTGGTACGCCTCTGAATGTTCCTTTGCCCTTTGTAAAACTTCCTTTCACAAACAAAATATTTGCATAGTTTAATGTAAGTATTATATACCTTTCTGAAGAACAATCTTGTAGATGTACTTATTCTACATGTTTTTTAAATAATGTAACAAAGAATTTGGAGTAAGGAAAACCCTAACAGAACAAAGTGTAAAATGACTCTGAATCTCTACCAGCGTCTCTGTTAATGAGGTCTCTCTTCAGATTTATCATTCTTTTTCTTCTGTTTTTCTTCTGCTTGTTTTTCAAAATAATCCTTAAGGAGCTTGTTCAGCTGTGGTTCATACTGGCTTGCATGCTGCAGTCCATCTCCCCTTCCTTAAAAAGATGCAAGACATGAGACAGCTGTTCCAACCTTTATAGTGATACCCAGGGCACGGTCGACGTCAGGCATCTCAAAAGGACAAAGCCCCAGCTCTTCCTGCCCAAACCACCACAGGCATTAACCACCCCTCAAGGTAAATTTTAATTAAAAATGTTTAAACACATTTTTATTTTACCTTCACAGTGTTGAATCACACGCCCCCATAGTCGATTTTTCCTCAAGCAGGCCAAATTTCCCACAATCAACAAATGCCTCCTTCCTCTGGTCAATGCAACGTTCATTCGTTCTTCTGAGTCAATGAATCCTACTTGTCTTGTCCTCACACAAGACAGAATAATGATTTCCTTTTCAGCTCCCTGAAAAGCATCCACTGTGGACACCTGCACAGTTTTAATATCAGGATGGTCAAAGTCCACAGCATGGAGTAAATGGCAAAACTGTGGAGAAAGGGAGACAGGATCACACAGTGCAGAGATCAGGGAAAACATACGTCTCCACACCTAGTCACACAAACATCTGAAGAAAACTAGTTGAAGCATTTTTATTTGTTTTTCTCAACTCACATGGACTTAGCTGGAAACTTTCTAAAATGGTAACTGACAATAGGATATTCTTTGTAAAACAAAATCAAAGGCAATACAGGGGAATTTATTTGCTTATGTTGATTTGAACTGATAAATAAGCTAATAATGAAAAAGAAAAAATATTAAGAGGAAAAAATTAAAAACCTAATCAGAACTGGCTCATATGTACATTTATACCTGGTATCCATCCTTGATTTACTGATAAAATGCAATCGTGGAAAAACATTTTGAAAAACAGTCTCAATCCCATCTGTCCCTAGACACAAAGCATATACCACATTTTCTTCCTCTAATCTGTTTATTTGCATTTTCCCCAACAGCTGTAAACTGAATTTAATTAAACCTTGTTAGGGCTTCATTTAATTATGTAGCAAGAAATCCAGGCCAGGAAAAATATTAGAATGTTTCTTTGTTAGTACATATAGTCCCGAAGGTTTCAAGCACCAAATTGAACTACACAAATATAATAGTAAATACTGTATATATAATTATGATGTTTAACACATGACAAATATCATCCCATAATACACACCTTGTACATCTGGGATCTGTACAACGTTATCACCCCAATCATGGAGCCTGCTATTCCACTTGCAATCAGAGACTGGATCAGCTTGAGTGTAAAAGCAGCTTCTGCCACATTATGAAAACTGTTATCTCTTTCAACCTCGAGTAAGACAGAGATCTTAAATTATATTTCCCAGAAAGGCTGCAGAAAGACTGAGTAAAATCATACAAACAACGACAATAAAATTAAATCAAGAAATTAAGCAGAGATTCCCAGCACCAATAATATCATTTACCTGTTCCACTCCCATAACATTATAGAAACACAGGGTGGGCAGCCACTCCAGTAAAGGGCTCCTCTCTCTTTCTGAAATGCCATTTATGAGGCTTCCTTCATAAAACAGATCATTAGCAATGGCACTGATCGCAGGGTGACAACGGTACTGGGTTCTCAACAGAACTGGTTTGTGACCCTAAGGAATTTAGATAGAGGAAAACAAAAAAAAATTAACACGTATCATTTCCTTTTTTCTAGGGAAATAAAAATAGTATTAAAAAAAATAAATGTCGTTACATCATGGCCTTAGATAAATAATGAGAGATAAACCACAAATATTAAAAAATAAATTATAAAAACTATGTTTACAAACTACAAAAGACATCATAAATCAAGTCTTAATTTGGCACCTAACATTGTGCTTTTATAATCCAGCTGGAGTTGACCTAATACTAATTTAAAAGAGATCTTTTAACATTAGGCAGGCCTGATAGTGTACGGTTACTAGGGAGGTTACAATAAGAAGATCACAAGTTCATGCTCTGCCTGGACTAGACCAAGGTCAACATTGTATCAAAATACAAAATAGAAAGAAGGCTGTGGCAGCTGCCCAGGGCACAGTGCTTGCCTAGTATGCATGAGGCCCTAAGTTCAATACTTAGCACTGCAAAAAGGAAGTCTGTGATGATTTATTCACTTTCCTCCTTGGATAAAGCCAGTGCTTCATTTGGAATCTTCAAGAAGCTTCAGCTCTCATTCATGCATCCTAATATCCAAGTCTCACCCACTTCAGCCATCTCCTGGAGCACATTCTTTACTTGGAAGACTTTCTGATATTTTTAGAACATTTTTACTAGATTCAAGGAACACCATAATAATACTACATAGCTAAATGTAGGGTTACTGATCACAGGAACAAAGTATCTTCATGGAAAAAGAAAAAAAAAAAAAGCAAAAAGCAAGCAAGAAATCAAATTTTACTACTCTGGGGCACAGATCTGTCTTTTTGTAAGTAAAGCAGCTCACATGTGAAACCCAGGATTAAGCCACAGGCACAAAAATGCTCAAAGGACCATTAATTATAACACAAATAACTAAAATTTCAATATCAAGGTGACTAAATTATGGTATAGCCACACAAAATAATATTTAGTTATTTAGACAGAGGTGATGGCAAAGCTAGCAATAAAAAAAGGAAACAGCTTACGGCAGTAGGTTTTTTAGTTACAGCATTTTTAACTGTAAAAAGTTATATTTGATGCATGGTTATAGCCCTAGTATTAAAGATGGAAAGCAAAATATTAAAATATCACACAAGGTTTTCTCTTGGGTATGACAAGGTGACTACAATGTATTTCTTAAATCTTTTGCTTTTCTTGGGTTTCCATGCTTTATGATAGCAGTAGATATTACTTTTATTAATTTTACTTTTAATGAATTTTGAATTTCAAATATACAAAAAAGCAAACAAAATAATATGGCCTCTGCATACCCACTACCCAGATCTAATGGCTCTTTTTCTCTTGAGTAAGGTTGGCATGTACAGATCAAAGTCCTCCCTCGTTCCTTCCTTCGTCACCTTCCTCTGAAAAGCCCTGACCCTGAATTGACTCTGCAGCACTTCCACAGACTTCTATCTATTGCTTGTTGTACTGGTATCTACCTATGAGCTACACACATGGAGTTTTACTATTAGTACTCCTTAGGACCCTGCTTCTTTTAAAGCAATTTTCAGGTAGCATTCAATTATGATATTTTAATATATATATATATATATATATATATATATATATATATATATCTCCCCAATTCTTGCTGGTCCCTTTCCTAGTCCCAAATACTACACAGTCCCCCTTCTGCCTTCATGTCACACATGTGTGCATGCATATATGCATTCTGCATTAAATAAAATGTGATATTGTCTTCCCTCCACGCCCTCCCCTCTCCCCTTTCTTTAGACCTTTTCTTCCTCCACTCAGTACCTTTTCCTTTCACACATATGCACACATATATTCATATACACATAAACGTAGATTCTGGTCGGGCGTAGTGGTGCAGGACTTTAGTCCCAGCACTCAGGAGGCAGAGGCAGAGGCAGGCGGATCTCTGTGAGTTCAAGGCCAGCCTGGTCTACACAGTGAGTTCCAGGACAGCTGGGGCTACAAGGAGACCAAAAGACAAACAAACAAGCAAACAAACAAAAAAAACATAGATTCTACATGAGACAAAATGTGGTATTTCACATGGCATGATGATCTCCAGTTCCAACCAGTTTCATGCAAATAACATAATTTTGTTCTTACAGCTAGATAAAATTCCATTTCCCATATAAACATTTTCTTTAGCCATTTCTTTAGCCATCAGTTAATAGGCATGTAGGCTGGTTCTCATCTTAGCTAGTGACAATACAGTCTTTTCTTTCTTCTTTCTTTTGGTCTTTTTGATCCCAAGTGCTGGGATCAAAGGCGTGCATCACCACGCCTGGCTGGGAATACAGTCTTAAACAATGACGTGCAGGTATCTATCTCTGTGATAAACTGACTTAGATTCCATTGGGTACATACCCAGGAGTGGTGCAAAACTCACAGGACAGGTCTGTTTTTAGTTTCTTGAGGAACTGTCACACTACAGTCTTTTCTTTCTTCTTTCTTTTGGTCTTTTTGATCCCAAGTGCTGGGATCAAAGGCGTGCATCACCACGCCTGGCTGGGAATACAGTCTTAAACAATGACGTGCAGGTATCTATCTCTGTGATAAACTGACTTAGATTCCATTGGGTACATACCCAGGAGTGGTGCAAAACTCACAGGACAGGTCTGTTTTTAGTTTCTTGAGGAACTGTCACACTGTACGTTTGAGAACTATCTATATAGCTCAAGTTTACTGACTCTAACTGCTTTAAATTGTTCTACTCTGTGACTAAATTACTTTCCTATTCTTTACTTGTCCTTTCAAAATTCCCCCAATAATTGGATGTGGTAACACAGGACTATAATCTCGATACTCAGGTTGAGGCCAGAAGACTGCTCTAAATTTGAGGCCAGCCTGAGCCACATAGAAGGATCCTGTCTCAAAAAATAACAAATAAAAAATAAATAAAGGGAATGGCTCTGGAAAGGCTGAGAAGACTCCGTGGATGAACTTGTACCAAGGGAACATCTGGGCACAAGGCCAGATAGGCCTCAATATATATAACAGAATACATGAAATCCTCTTGGTGGGGAACTATGGGGAGGTGTAAATGGTGGAGGTCATCTAAATTTGATTAAGATCTATTAGATTTAACACACAAAAACTCAGTAAAAAACATACATTAACAAAAAATATGTTCAGAAAGAGTTCCATAAGCTTTTCTTTGTAATCTATGGTAGTATTTAAAACCCCATTAAATTGGGGAAATGATCTTTGTATTTAACCTAAATTTCCAATCCTGTTTAAGGAAGCAGAAAACAGCTGGTTCTTATCTGTAACATAAAAACAAATTGGTTTTCTAGCTTCAAGCTGAATAGTCTTACTTTAAGTTTTCTTATTATGGAATATTTCAGGAGTGCTGAAAGGTAAAAGCACAGTAACTTTAAAAAT